ATGTGGCTCCAGGTTTTCCCAGTCAATCTCCCTGTGGTTGAAATCCCCCATAACCAGCAACTTTGCTCTGCTGGAGTGAGCTCTTCTTGCCACCTCAGCAAGTGTGTCCACCACTGCTCTGTTGCTCTCTTCATATTCCTCTCTTGGCCTCCTGCAGTTCTGTGGTGGATTATACATCACTGCAATGACCCTCTTGTGCCTACTATGTAGTCTCTTTCTCCCGTCTCGTCTATGCCTTATATACTCACCTATTTGTGGTTGCAGGGGTCAAGTCATAACTCCTGGCTCCGCCTCTTCACTGATCGCTACTAGGTCCTCTCTCTCCCTGCTCCACAAGTTTTATCAAACCTCGTCTGAAAACTATGTATGGTTCCTGCGTCTACTACGTCACTTGCCAGAGTATTTCACTTCCTGACAACTCTATGACTAAAGAAATACTTCCTAACATCTCTTTGACTCATCTGAGTCTTCAACTTCCAACTGTGGCTTCTTGTTTCTGTGTCCCCCTCTCTGGAACATCTTGTCTCTGTCCACCTTGTCAATTCCTTGCAGTGTGTGTGCTCACCTATTTGTGTTTCAGGGGTACAAATCGAGTCACAGTTCCTGGTCCCTGTGTGCCTAATGTGGATTCTCGGGGTAGAGTCCTAGCTCCTGGCACCGCGTCTCAACTTGCCGCCTGCCAGATTCACTCCCTCTTATTAAGCCTCGTGGACCCTATCGTACCTCCTCTTTAAACTATGTATGGAACCTGCCCCCATCACTCCTTGACCACCCTGAGGGTGAAAAAACACTCCCTGACCACTCTGATGTTGATGAAACACTTGCTGCCCACCCTGATGTTCAATACACTTCCTGACCACCCTGAGACTGAAAAAATACTTCCTGACATCCCCGTGGTTCATGTGGGTGGCTTTTCAGTACTCATTGGGTGAAACAAGAGAAGTTGGACATGCACACTGCCGCTGTAATACTCACACAAACACTGTTACCCGCGATACAGTTCCTGTTTTTGCTGCAGCTACTGTTGCTGCAGCTGCTGTTGCTGCAGATATTGATGCTGCAACTGCTGCTGCAGATTGATGCTGCAGCTGTTGTTGCAGCTACTGTTGCTGCAGCTGCTGCAGATATTGATGCTGCAACTGCTGCTGCAGATATTGATGCTGCAACTGCTGCTGCAGATATTAATGCTGCAGCTGCTGCTGTTGTTGCAGCTACTGTTGCTCGAGTTGCTGTTGTCGCAGCTAATAGTGTTGCAGCAGCAGCAGTAGCAGCAGTTGCTGTTATCCACCAGCTTACTACCAGATATAACTTACACAAGTTAATAAAACTCATTAACAACACAATAACATCATCGCCTCCACAACGCAACTCTACACCATTCAATTACTGCAGTAATGGGAATGCACTAAACCCGTAGGAGGTTAACACAGCCTGGGGGAAACACAAAGTAACTTGATCAAAACGAGAGGGCAGCTTAGTCTCTCTCTCTCTCTCTCTCTCTCTCTCTCTCTCTCTCTCTCTCTCTCTCTCTCTCTCTCTCTCTTTGAGACTCAAATACAATTTTCAGTTTGCTTTCCAGAGCGGAAATTAAAATGTGAATCTTTGTCTCTCTTGAGATCACTAGTGAGTCTTCAGGTGAGTCACTTTACTGCAGGTGAATCTATAATTCAGGTGAGTATCTTCACATGTACGATACGTGGATCAGGATCAAGGGGAACAGAGATAAAAGAGACAAGGCACAGATGAGTCCTAGGTATGTCAGGAAGTACTTTTTCAGCCTCAGGGTGGTAAACAAGAGGAATGACCTGGATGTGGTAAGATAAGATTTTCTTCGGATTTTTAATCCCGGAGGGTTAGCCACCCAGGATAACCCAAGAAATTCAGTGCGTCACCGAGGACTGTCTTATTTCCTTTGGGGTCCTCAATCTTGTCCCCCAGGATGCGACCCACACCAGTCGACTAGCACTCAGGTACCTATTTGCTGCTAGGTGAACAGGACATCAGGTGTAAGGAAACGCGTCGAAATGTTTCCACCAGCCGGGAATTGAACCCGGGCCCTCCGTATGTGAAGCGGAAGCTTTGGCCACCAGACCACCGGGCCTGGGAGGAGGGTCAAGTACACATACACAGCTTCAAGAGTATGTATAAGAAGATGGGCCGGGAGGTGAGACTCGACTCCCCTCCCCCACAAACAAATAGGCGAATAGATACATTATGGTTTACGAATGTAACATATGTAAAACAAACACATACACACACACACGAATTGTCACGAAGTGAAACAATCTGAAGAGTGGTGTAATGGAGGCAAAATCCATACATAACTTTAAGGAGAGGTACGACAAGGCTCTGAGAGCTGGAAGTGGACCTAGTGGTGATCAGCGAAGAGGTGGGGGCAGGAGCTGCGAATCGACCTCTGCAACCACAAATAGGTGAAAAACGCACACAATCTGGGTCAAGTTATGGCTTCAAGAAATTTTAAACATGAGAGAGAGAGAGAGAGAGAGAGAGAGAGAGAGAGAGAGAGAGAGAGAGAGAGAGGAGGAGGCTAGCTATCTATAGCATCATGGTGGAGGGTAATATGCGAGAGATGACAATGTGGATCTGATGATCTGATATTCCGTGCCTAACATGGTGCAGCTTCCCTCTCCTATGTCACACACCTCACTCTCTAGCTCACACTTCGGAAGTTAGCTCGCTCGCTCTCTCTCTCGTTCTCACCTTAACCAGGCCGGATAATTCACAAAAGAACCAAATATTGAAACCATTAATGTATAACGTCTGACCTGAGAATAATAGGTTATTTGACAACATCTCGGGGTAGTCTGGCCTTAATTAGTCACGCGGATAATAGAACAAGTCTCCGGTTAGGTGCAGTCAGGAGAGCTCTGCAGTGTCCTAACTTATTCAGCATACTAACCACACAATCAACTGGAAAGGTTAGGTTAGGTAAGTGTTCCTTGACGCGGGTCTAAGTCATATGATGACCCCCGCAGATGGAGCTTTTGGTCATCTGACCGAGACCTTCCGCTGGCTTACCCCTCCACCCTTTTAAAAATTATGGTTATGATTCAAATTCAAAATTTTATTTTATTTACGAAGTACACCATATGTACTTTATATAAGAACATAAGAACATAAGAAAGGAGGAACACTGCAGCAGGCCTGTTGGCCCATACTAGGCAGGTCCTTTACAATTCATCCCACTAACAACATTTGACCAACCCAATTTTCAATGCCACCCAGATTATGACTATTGAAGGTGTTAATATCGTCCACAAAACTGAAACAAATGCAAATCAACAGAAACGACGTTAAACGAAGCAAACTTGGACACCTGACAAGAGAGGAAATTTCAGATGTTTTTAGCAAATATGATCAGAGAAAGACATCTACGTACCGAGCTTAATTAGACACACATATACAACAACTCATGACTCCCTCACCAGTACACATCCTGTGACTGACGAAGCCTGCTGTGCGGGCGTGAAGTTTCGGTAATAAAGAGACGTCAGCAAACACTAGGTAATATTTATGAGTAAACGTTTCAGTTCCAGGACCGAAACGTGATCAAGTGATCATGATCACTTCTTAGAAGTGATTAAGATCATCTGATCCTTCGACCTTGATCACTTCTCAAGGTCCCAAAACCGAAATGTTTTCCAGTAAAGAAAGATACACAAGTGACGCCAGTATTTTATCAACTTACCAGTACTATAGTACATATAGCATTAATATAATACTGCCAGTCTACCCTGATACATCTAACACTGTTATCTTCACCAGTTTTAAATATGAGGTTAGTGTACTGACTGTCAGTGTGAGCACAAGAAAGTGAACCAGTCAGCAACTGTTGGATACGAAAATGTAAAGCTATATCTGGAGTTTCTGGAGAGAGTTCCGGGGGTCAACGCCCCCGCGGCCCGGTCTGTGACCAGGCCTCATTAGGTCAGTGTCCCAGGATGCGACCCACACCAGTCGACTAACACCCAGGTACCCATTTTACTGATGGGGAACATAGACAACAGGTGGAAAGAAACACGTCCAATGTTTCTACTCTGGCTGGGAATCGAACCCAGGCCCTCACCGTGTGAAGCGAGAGTGTTAACCACCAGTAAACAATATAAAGCTATATACTCTGGTGTAAACAACGGGTTAAGAGTGAGTGGAGATGGGGTGAGAACCAGACACCATCCTCAGCAATAACACCAACACATGTTATAGAAACACATGGGACATTACTGACAGAATGATCTTAAAACACACACAGGGATGTTATGAAGTATTTCTTCAGTCACAGAGTTGTCAGGAAGTGGAATAGTCTGGAAAGGGAGGTGGTGGAGGCAGGAGCATACACAGTTTTAAGATGATGTATGATAAAGCTCACGGAGCAGGGAAGTGACTGAGTAGCGACCAGTGAAGAGGCGGGGCCAGGAGCTATGAATCGACCCCTACAACCACAATTAGGTGAGTACACACACACACACTTCAGTACCATAGCCACGAACTGGTCTGGTTGTCTGACTTCTGCGAAGAGAATCATATTAGTCTGGAGTTTTGATACGTCACATTATAGGCCTCGACCTCTGGAAAGACACTCACATAGCTCTGGGCCTTTGGAAAGACATTTAATATAAGCCCAGGGCTTCTGAAAAGACAGTCACATAGACGTGAACGCTGTGTATAGGCACAACACAGATATATGCAATAAGTTGCAGCCTCGTGACAACAATAAATGAAGCTTGTGTGTGTGTTGCGCCCGTCGCGATGACCCATAAAATAACATTAAGTATAACTGCCCTCCGTGACTGCTTCTTCCTTACACAAATAACCCGCACATAGGAAAGAGAAACTTATGACGATGCTTCGGTCCGACTTGGACCATTTACAAGTCAAAAGTGACTTGTAAATGGTCACGGTATTGTGCCTTTTTGTTTTTTACTTCCTTTCTACTCAGTGTCCACCTCCTCCCTCACCCTTACTCCCTGGCACCCACTCACCTGTGGCTAGGTCTGCTGCGTCATGCTGGAGGTGTTCCAGGTGGCGGGAGAGCAGAGGAAGGCGCAGCCGAAGAAGGTCACGGAAGACGGCCATATCGACGCTGAGTCCCCGCAGGTTGTTAGCGAAGTAGGACTCTGGAAGCACTCCCTCTATTAGGTAGATCATCACCTGGTGGCGCAGACGGAGAACACGCACATCTTAAAGAGTTTAGTGAGGCTGTGACGATGAGTGAGATTGGCAGTGTCGTATGTGTGTGTGTGTGTATGTATAATATATATATATATATATATATATATATATATATATATATATATATATATATATATATATATATATATATATAAAATATATATACACCACTATATCTATAAACTATTATAACTAATATATATATATATATATATATATAATATATAATATATATTATATATATATATAATATATTTTATATATATTATATATATATATATATATATATATATATTATATAATATTATATATATATAATATACGTATATAATAAATACATATAGTATTGATATATTTTCACGTTTTTAGGGAGATTTTCACATAGTGCATCAGCTATATTTAACAAGCAAGTATTAGACTTAAGCTATGAAATAAATAGACGACATCTGAAAAATACAACTGCCCAATGATATATGATAGTTCCAGTGTGACCCTTGTGTGCGCTACTGTTCGCACGAAGCTCATCACTAGCTTAAGAACGTAGTCGCTCACAGGAAGCGCGCGGGTTGTCCAGGAAAATAGTCGCTCATATGACACAAAATAAGAATGGATTTGTTGTTGTGGAAATTCTTGACAGACAACCTGGCCGACGACCTGACTGACGACCTGACAACTTCCTTTCACATATCGAACACAGGACATAAAAGCCGTGTGTTCCCTCCTCTCCCGACGTCATCTTTGAAGATGTGTTGCCCAGTCACAAGTAAAACGAAAACATTCTCTATTTTGACGAATAAAAACAGTTTCCGTCAAAGCGGAGAAGCAAAGGGACTCTTCATTTTGACGAAGTTATCTAGTGAACTTATCCCCAGCATAAGTTCATCAAAGGTCAATGCGGGGAAAGTGAATTTACATAGACTGGAAAGGTCGGTGGTGGCTTTCCCTGCTCGAGTGTGAGGGGTGCCCCCTCCCCCCCCCCAAAAAAAAAGGTGCTTTCACCAGATGCAAACTTTCTCGTCCACAAAGTGACATAAGCCGGGTAAATTACCGCGAACTCAGTAACGAATTATGAAGTAGTGGAGGGCGGGAAGGAGGAGTGAGGAGAAGTGAGGAAGGAGTGAGAAACGTGAGAAAGAAAGAGGGAGGGAGGGAGGGAGGGAGGAGAGAGAGAGAGAGAGAGAGAGAGAGAGAGAGGAGAGAGAGAGAGAGAGAGAGGAGAGAGAGAGAGAGAGAGAGAGAGAGAGAGAGAGAGAGGACATTAATCAATCATAGGTACATGCGACACTCGTGTCTTCACGAGACATCAATCAGTCACATCTAGGAACATCACAAGGTTCTCAATATTAATACAAGACATTACTGTCAGAACATGAATTACCACGAAGTCTCATATATTTGTCAACTACACGTATTTCTTTACATACAGTTTATAAATACACAGTAGAAAACTCTAATGAAGCATTTAATTCGTGTTAAGCGCTAAACCCATGTGGGTCATTCAGCTTAAGACGTGGTGGAGGCTCGATCCTCCGTCTACTGGACGCGAGACAGACGCCCGAACTACAGAAATAGCAAAGGAAAAAGATAAGTCTAACAGCCAGCCACTACACACTGCTCTAACTAATACCAGGTGTTGGTAAGTTAGTTTAACATGTTTATTATGCAGCACATACCCATGGTGTGGGTGGTAGTCAAATGATTATAGAGGTACATAATGGGTCCAGGGACTAGACTGCAAAGTTTTGAAAGCTGAACAAGTTACAGTGGTAATGAAGTATTTACATGTTTATATCGGTCATAATCGTAATGAGTTATTTATACAGACGTTCATATGGACTCTCTCCCTCACACACACACACAAAGCGGTAATACTTTATTTACAGTGAGTAAAGTCAGGGTGTTGGTAAGACTGCAGAATATTGTGGAGGAACAACCAGGCAGCCACACTACAGTGGCGCAATACCCTTGATGAGTTTCGAAAGCTTTTCTACCCTCAGAGCCCGGTTCTAGGCCAGGCAAGCTTGTCTCGTGATGGATATGTCTGGTGATAGACACACACTGGTGATGGATATGTAGGCCAGTGGGCTGTCAGCCCACTGGCCTACATATCCATCACAGCCTGGTTGATCTGGCACCTGGTAAAGATACTTGTCCAGTTTCCAATTGAAGACTTCTACATATGTCCCTGCAGTGTTTCTGATATCTTATGGTAAGATGCTGAATAGTTTGGGGCCACGGATGTTGATACAGCGTTCCCTGATTGTGCCCACCGCACCCTGCTTTCCACTGAGTTTACTTTGCACTTCCTCCCATATCTCTCACTCAGTATGTTATGGTAGTGTGCAGATTTCGTACAAGGCCCTAAGTACTTTCCAGGTATATATTATCTCTCCAACTCCAGCGAGTTGGTTGGTAAAACAACTCGAGATCTAGTAGAAAACCTATCAAAACAAACTGGGAGGTTACAAAAAAAGATATATCATAGAGGAGAATGAACGACGAAGCTGGATTTTAGGTTAAGAGGCGGGAGCCAAGGAGTCGAGACGATCCCCGAAGATACAAATGGGCGGGAACACAAATCGAGTGGCGGAATACTGGAATGTTATCCAGGAGGAAATATTACATTAACACCACGACGTGACGGGAGATCTAAATATGCGATAAGAAACTCGGCTTATTGAGTCACGGATAAAAGTTACTTTACATCGTCAACATTTTCAAAACTGAGCGAAAAGTTCAGTAACTTATTATACATTCTGTTTACGCTATATCGTGTATCAACAAGAAGTGAATATATTATCGTACCGAACTTGCTGCTTATTCACTTCCCTTGACAAATAAGATATACACTCACAGGCAGAAATATTGCAGGTGGAGCAGCACAATGCTGGGTACGACCAGACATTCCTTAGCCATAAATAGTGCAACTAACTCCCCTCTCCTCTCCTTCTTTCCCCCTTCTCCTTCTCTTCTCCTTCCCCCCACCCTTAAAAAAGTGCAGTTGGTGGGTTACACAAGAGCCTGGGTTTACTGCTATCTGTCTTCGCTTAAACCCCAAAATGGATATTGATTTCGGACTAACATTAGATAAAAATTAGTTCATACAAAAATGAGACGCATGTTATTATCGCAGACGTAATAATGCCCAGCATTATGTACACATATTAAGGGTTAACATGCAGGTACCACGACTGGTAATATTTACAAGATTTGCAACCTCGCAGAAGGGGATAGAATGACTCCAGGAAAGAATATAACGAGTTGTGTCTCCTCTCGAGGACATAACCTCTCGGGACCACTAAACTGAGCCAATGTAACAAGCAGCTGCTTACTTTTCAACCCTTGGTTTCTCTGGCTAGTTTATGACCTAACTCTTTCAGGTAAATAGAGCGTCCACTCTCCCCCACGATCCGAGGTTCTCTATGTGTATATTATACAATACCGACAAGATAAAGAATTAGACACCTGTGCATGTTTACTGTAGACGCTTCTCCAACCAGTGACTTTATCAATATAAATTCAACGGTGTTCTTCACCAACTCCAAGACTGAGGGACTGATTATCTCATTATCCAATTATGTCCTTGAATATGCACTGATAAAGCCACTGGTTGGCGAAACCTCTACAGTAAAGATACCCAGATGTTGCACATGTGTCTAATTCTTTACTCGAGGTTCTATTGGAATGAAGTTGTAGCAGTGTGTGAGGGAAAAGTTCAACAGATGGGAGTAGCAAGCGAGTATATGGTAACGATAGTTTGATTGCCAGTCTGCTTGTTAAGGTAGGGTCAGTGTCTAGCTCCCGCTATGCCCCCCTCCTTTTTTTCCACCCGGAAAGGTGACGTGTGGGGCTCCGACCAAATGGTAATCACTTGACTCGCAGCTCCCAGCACAACTTTTGGAATGTCAGCTCGGGTCATCTGGCAACCAAAGAAACAGTGTTGAAGGAGACGAACTTTACCCAAGTTCTGGGACGTCACCATTTTATCTGCATACTCAAGTGTTTGTAGATGAATGGTTCAGAGAACCGACATGTTGATAAATTAGACACATGTGCAACTCTTGAGGGACTGATTACCTCATTCTCCTCCTATTCTTCAAGATTCTCCTTTGTATGGACTGATGAAGCCACTGTGTGGCGAAACGTTTCCTCAATAAAGATACCCAAGAGTTGCACATGTGTCTAATTTATCATACTCAAGTGTAGTCAACCCCAGGCAACTACCTCTCATCTTTGCAGTGGTGAAAGACCTGCGTTCCTATCACCTTGACGGACTATTCAAGGCTAGAGACTCTGTGAAGAACTAGTCGTTGGGTTGTCACTCAACATCTGTGACCCCCCATCATCAGCAACGGCTACAATTTATACAACACGCGGTGTCACCAACATCAGAAAAAAATAATAACAGTTAAATATAAACACTTTATTATTTAGAAACGAAAATATAAAACAATTAAATATGAATTTTTATCCTACTTGAAAGAGAAATGAAAAATGAAATAAAAAAATATATGATTTCAACGCTAATATATACAGTAGACTGGGGTGTCTGATGTTGGTGACACCGCGTGTTGTAGAAATTGTAGCCGTTGCTGATGATGGGGGGTCACAGATGTTGAGTGACAACCCAACGACTAGTTCTTCACAGAGTCTCTAGCCTTGAATAGTCCGTCAAGGTGATAGGAACGCAGGTCTTTCACCACTGCAAAGATGAGAGGTAGTTGTCTGGGGTTGACTACACTTAGGTATGCAGATAAAATGGTGACGTCCCAGAACTTGGGTAAAGTTCGTCTCCTCCTGAGGAGGAGTCAGCCTTGGTAATACTGAAGTTGTTACAGGGCTGAGTACTCCTTCACACAGTGTGTTCTTCCTCTGTACTGGAGGGCAGTGTGTTCTTCCTCTGTACTGGAGGGCAGTGTGTTCTTCCTCTGTACTGGAGGGCAGTGTGTTCTTCCTCTGTACTGGAGGGCAGTGTGTTCTTCCTCTGTACTGGAGGGCAGTGTGTTCTTCGTCTGTACTGGAGGGCAGTGTGTTCTTCCTCTGTACTGGAGGGCAGTGTGTTCTTCCTCTGTACTGGAGGGCAGTGTGTTCTTCGTCTGTACTGGAGGGCAGTGTGTTCTTCCTCTGTACTGGAGGGCCTCTTGCCTCTCCCTCAACTTGCTTCCATAACCTCCTATACATTCGTGGTATCCTACGGCTTCTTGAATTCAAGAAGCCTTGGGATACTGTGAATATTTACACCTCCAAAAAAAGGTGCCTTTGATTAAAGAAATCGGGGTTTTGATTCAAGGAACTGAGGCTACCTTAACCATCCCTAGATCGACGATGATTTTCTTGCACTACGCAAGCACTTTATCCCGCAAGTTTCAGCACTTCTCAGTGAAGATAACAACACTTAAGCTCTCTTGGAAAATTTGTACGAAAATATTAGATCATGCAGGAACATTCTCCAGCACTGGTAAGTGACATCATGCAGGAACATTCTCCAGCACTGGTAAGTGACATCATGCAGGAACATTCTCCAGCACTGGTAAGTGACATCATGCAGGAACATTCTCCAGCACTGGTAAGTGACATCATGCAGGAACATTCTCCAGCACTGGTAAGTGACATCATGCAGGAACATTCTCCAGCACTGGTAAGTGACATCATGCAGGAACATTCTCCAGCACTGGTAAGTGACATCATGCAGGAACATTCTCCAGCACTGGTAAGTGACATCATGCAGGAACATTCTCCAGCACTGGTAAGTGACATCATGCAGGAACATTCTCCAGCACTGGTAAGTGACATCATGCAGGAACATTCTCCAGCACTGGTAAGTGACATCATGCAGGAACATTCTCCAGCACTGGTAAGTGACATCATCCAGGAACATTCTCCAGCACTGGTAAGAGTGACATTATCCAGGAACATTCTCCAGCACTGGTAAGAGTGACATCATACAGGAACATTCTCCAGCACTGGTAAGAGTGACATCATACAGGAACATTCTCCAGCACTGGTAAGAGTGACATTATCCAGGAACATTCTCCAGCACTGGTAAGAGTGACATCATCCAGGAACATTCTCCAGCACTGGTAAGAGTGACATCATGCAGGAACATTCTCCAGCACTGGTAAGAGTGACATTATCCAGGAACATTCTCCAGCACTGGTAAGAGTGACATCATCCAGGAACATTCTCCAGCACTGGTAAGAGTGACATCATGCAGGAACATTCTCCAGCACTGGTAAGAGTGACATTATCCAGGAACATTCTCCAGCACTGGTAAGAGTGACATTATCCAGCACTGGCAAGTGACATCCAGGAACATTCTCCAGCACTGGTAAGAGTGACATCATACAGGAACATTCTCCAGCACTGGTAAGAGTGACATTATCCAGGAACATTCTCCAGCACTGGTAAGAGTGACATCATCCAGGAACATTCTCCAGCACTGGTAAGAGTGACATCATGCAGGAACATTCTCCAGCACTGGTAAGAGTGACATTATCCAGGAAACATTCTCCAGCACTGGTAAGAGTGACATCATCCAGGAACATTCTCCAGCACTGGTAAGAGTGACATCATGCAGGAACATTCTCCAGCACTGGTAAGAGTGACATTATCCAGGAACATTCTCCAGCACTGGTAAGAGTGACATTATCCAGCACTGGCAAGTGACATCCAGGAACATTCTCCAGCACTCACAAGAGTGACATCATGCAGGAACATTCCCCAGCTCTGGTAAGAGTGACATCATCCAGGAAAATTCTCCAGCACTGGCAAGAGTGACACACTCTCAATACTCTTCCTAGTCATAACTTAGAGGTCGTCCCAGTCATAACTCACCATGAATGCTTGTGTACATAAGAATAAAACAGAAGCAACCACAAGGCAAGCAAAGTGCTTGTTGTTTGCCCTGTCTTCGCTTCTACTATTGACAATAAGACCTGTCTTTGCTTGTACTATTTAAAATAACACCACAACATATCTGCAAGTCTTGTGAGGCACTTATGTCTTATTCCTTGTTTGAGTAGGTCTACACACTGCACTACTTCTAATATCACCAAGTGGTTAACGCACTGGCCTGTGAGTTTAAGGATTCACTGCCATGGGTTGAAACCCCACCCGTTCCCGTGATTTATTTAGCACCTACAGTTGTTGACAACCATTGTAGGTGGAAACCGAAAGTTATGCGAAGGCTCACCTTGAGTGCGTCCGACTCCTGACGCTCCATGACCTCGAGGATGATAGCAGCAAGCATGTTGAAGCCCTGGCAGTAGCCTACACCTTTGTTCCAGCGAGCGAAGGCTAGCAGCACCCGCTTCAACATGGCCTGGTTGTCCTCAGCTTCCTCCCCGCAGAAGAGTGAACATCCAGTGCGGTGAAGGTCCTGAGGAGAGAGAACATTGTACGCTTGTAGTATTATTCTAAGGATGATGCAGAGGCATCATAGGCTTATGGTACACCTTTGATGAGTTTCGACGGTCTTTCTACTCCTGGAACCCAGCCATGGGTCAGACTCGTATCGTTCTAAGGATAATGAAGAAGCATCATACGCTTGTGATATTGTTCTAAGGATGGTGCGCAAAATATATAGTTAATTATGAGTGATATTACATAAAACGACGGCAATTTTTTTGGTGTGTGTGTGTGTCTTAATTTAATTGTCCTCCATTAATTTTTAATTATTAATTATTATTATTATTAAACTGTCATTTACATAAGGCAGTAAACCCGAATGGTTAGTTCAGCGTCATGAGTGGTGGTGGCAGCCTCAACCTGAGGGGTAACAGAGGTGCCAAACATAGCTTCGACTCAAGTCTACTGAACACGTTCATCTTTAACCTCCCCTACTCCCCACTTACTCCCTCTACCCCACTCTCTCCCCCCCCCTACTCCCCACCTCCCCTACTCCCCCCCCACTCCCCACCTCCCCTACTCCCCACCTCCCCTACTCCCCACCTCCCACATTCCCACTCACTCACTCCCCCGGCGAAGGAACTATGCACACCACAATTCGATTTGCAAGGTCCCCGGGACCTCTTCCTCCCTCACCTGAGGGAGGGGAGAAGACAGGTAATTTCTCTCCCTCCCCATCACAACCAGGCTTCTCCCCCACCATGCTCCTGAACCTCCCCCCCCCCACCACAACAACCCTCCGGCCGCCACATACAATAACAACGCTAATTTACTACTTTTACTTGACTTAAGAAATCGTAATGACACGATTGCAAATAAACCATACCCCCGGCCGGGATTGAACCCGCTGGAGTTTTGAGACTCTATGACCGCGGGTTCAATCCCGGCCGGGGGTATGGTTTACTACTTTTAATGGAACATATTCCTTAAATTTTGAAATGAGGGAAAAGTGTCGAAATTTCAGATAAGTTTATGGAGAAACATTATGTAATGAACGAACATGTAGTTAATTACTGTGTTAGGTTTCAAGTCTATCGTCAGCACGGGGTCATTATGGAATAACAAATGTATATATATATATATATATAATATATATATATATATATATATATATATATATATATTAATATATATATATATATATATATATATATGTCTGCCGAATATGTAAAACTGGTCAGTTAGCAAGAACTCATTTAAAATTAAATCCTTTCTGAAATTTTCTCTTATACGTTTAAAGATATATTTTTTTTATTAATGTTAATGTAAAAATTAATAATTTTGCACCAAAAGAATCTTAGAAAACTTACCTAACCTTATTATAACAAGAGCAATTTATTTTAGCCTAACCCAACTAAATAGATTTTAGATTTGTTTACAAAAATTTAATACTAAACAAACACAGTGAAATATATTTTTTTAGTTAGGTTCAGAATGATTTTGGCGAAATTATTGCATACACAAATTTTCACTTGTCCTATATGGCAAGATGACGTTGCTATTTAAGCCAAGATCGCAAGTTCTGCCTATTCGGCACGACATATATATAATTGTAGTTTACAAACACACACACACACACATACACACATTAACCATGGCAGACATGATAGCGGCGTACAAAATACTCAAGTGGAATTAATTGAGTGGAGAGGAACAGGCAGCTCGAGAGGCAAGAAACAGGTACACGAAGGACATATTTGGATGCTAAAAAAAATACACGAGTCACAGTGATCAGGGAGTGGAATGACTTGGACAGCTCCAATGCTGGGTGTGACAACAGTTCTAAAAGAAAGTACCTCAGTGACAAACACTTTGAGAGGCAGGGCCAGAAAGTGACTCGAACCCTGAAACCACAAACAGGTTAAAATCCCACTGACGTGCCAGAGATGGTTGGCGTGGTTATATGTGTGTTAATTACAGTGTAACCAGAGTATGGCACCTCTCTCTCTCTCTCTCTCTCTTTCATGACTCACACATTTTTGCTAGGAAAAAACAGCCTTTGTGACTGGTATGTACACACAGCCCTTGTGACTGGTATGTACACACAGCCCTTGTGACTGGTATGTACACACAGCCCTTGTGACTGGTATGTACACACAGCCCTTGTGACTGGTATGTACACACAGCCCTTGTGACTGGTATGACACACAGCCCTTGTGACTGGTATGTACACACAGCTCTTGTGACTGGTATGTACACACAGCCCTTGTGACTGGTATGTACACACAGCCCTTGTGACTGGTATGTACACACAACCCTTGTGACTGGTATGTACACACAGCCCTTGTGACTGGTATGTACACACACCCTTGTTGACTGGTATGTACACACAACCCTTGTGACTGGTATGTACACACAACCTTGTGACTGGTTATGTACACACAGCCCTGGACTGGTATGTACACACAACCCTTGTGACTAGTATGTACACACAACCCTTGTGACTGGTATGTACACACAACCCTTGTGACTGGTATGTACACACAACTCTTTTGGCTAGTATGTACACACAGCCCTTGTGACTGGTATGTACACACAACCCTTGTGACTGGTATGTACGCACAACCCTCGTGACTGGTATATACACAACCCTCGTGACTGGTATATATACACAACCCTCGTGACTTGTATATATACACAACCCTCGTGACTTGTATATATACACAACCCTCGTGACTTGTATATATACACAACCCTCGTGACTGGTATATACACACAACCCTCGTGACTGGTATATACACACAACCCTCGTGACTGGTATATACACACAGCCCTCGTGACTGTTATGTACACGTTAACACGGTATACTGAAGTACAATAACGAGGCTTACAGCGTGAGAGTGTTTAGGATGGCTGTGTGGGTGCCTCACAAGTCACATGGGGATGGAAATCTTTATCTCAAGATCTTTCGCACTCTCGTGCGTCGTTAGGAGCTATGCAATGTTGCAAGACAACAACAGAAAGGAGAAATTCTCTGAGGCAAGGCAAGAGGTATCAGTGGCAGCCCATGTCACAGAGAACCGTGTGGGTGGTGAGTCAGGTGGTGACTTACGTAGGTCTACCCTTCACCTCAATGATCTGCAGTGAACCTTCAAGGATCACTAATTTAAGAACAACCTTGGTCACGTGGAGCACACACACACACACACACACACACACACACATGACGAAAGGGAGACTCTCAAGAGACTCAAAACTGTGTCTGTTTGCAGATGATGTGAAGTTAAGGAGGAGAATTAAATCGGATGAGGACCAAGCATGACCACAAAGAGACCTGGACAGGTTGGATGGAAGCCTGGTCCAGCACCAGGCTTCTCGAATTTAACCTTGTCAAATATAAAGTCATGAAGATCGGGGAAGGGCAAAGAAGACTGCAGAAAGAGTATGGGCTTGGTGGCCAAAGACTGCAAATCTCACTCAAGACAAAGGATCTTGGGGTGAGTATAATACCGAGCACATCTCCTGAGGCGCACATCAACCAGATAACTGTTGCAGCATATGGGTGCCTGGCAAACCTGAGAATAGCGTTCCGATACCTCAGTAAAGAATCGTTCAAGACTCTGTATACCATTTACGTCAGGCCCATACTGGAGTATGCAGCACCAGTTTGGAACCCACACCTGGTCAAGCACATCAAGAAATTAGAGAAAGTGCAAAGGTTTGCAACAAGGTTAGTTCCAGAGCTAAGGGAAATGTCCTACGAAAAAAGGTTAAGGAAAATCGGTCTGACGATACTGGAAGACAGGAGGTCAAGGGAGACACGATAACGACATACAAAACACTTCGAGGAATTGACAAGGTGGACAGAGACAGGATGTTCCAGAGATGGGACACAGAAACAAGGGGTCACAATTGGCAGATGAAGATTCAGATGAATCTAAGAGATGTTAGGAAGTATTTCTTTAGTCACAGAGTCGTCAGGAAGTGAAATAGGCTGACTAGTGACGTAGTGGAGGCAGGAACCATACATAGTTTAAAGACAGGGTATGATAAAGCTCATGGAGCAGGGAGAGAGAAGACCTAGTAGCGATCAGTGAAGAGGCGGGGCCAGAAGCTATGTCTCGACCCCTGCAACCGCAAACAGGTGAGTACAAACTCTAGAGGACAGGAGCACTAAGGAGGATGTGATAACGACGTACAAAATACTAAGAGGAATCGACAAGGTGGACCGGGCCAGAATGTTCCAGGCCACAACTGGAAGATGAAAATGAGATGACTCGTAAGAATGTTAGGAAGTATTTCTTCAGCCTTACAGCTGTCAGAAAGTGGAACAATCTGGAGTGTGACGTGGTAGAGGTGACACCCACACACAGCTATAAGAAGAAGTACGACAAGGCTCTCCAAGCCAGAAGATAATTGGATTTAGCAGCGACCAGAGACGAGGTGTGGGCCAGGAACCGTAGCTCAACTCCTTCAATAACATACAGGTGAATACACACAGAAAAAAAGGGTTCACGGGGAAAATTGCAGCCAGTGTGGTGTGAGGCCATTGTAGTGTGAGGCCAGTGTGGTGTGAGGCCAGTGTGGTGTGAGGCCAGTGTGGTGTGAGGCCAGTGTGGTGTGAGGCCAGTGTGGTGTGAGGCCAGTGTGGTGTGAGGCCATTGTAGTGTGAGGCCAGTGTGGTGTGAGGCCATTGTAGTGTGAGGCCAGTGTGGTGTGAGGCCATTGTAGTGTGAGGCCAGTGTGGTGTGAGGCCATTGTAGTGTGATGCCAGTGTGGTGTGAGGCCATTGTAGTGTGAGGCCAGTGTGGTGTGAGGCCATTGTAGTGTGAGGCCAGTGTAGCGTGAGGCCAGTGTGGTGTGAGACCATTGTAGTGTGAGGCCATTGTAGTGTGAGGCCAGTGTGGTGTGAGGCCAGTGTGGTGTGAGGCCAGTGTGGTGTGAGGCCATTGTAGTGTGAGGCCAGTGTGGTGTGAGGCCAGTGTGGTGTGAGGCCAGTGTGGTGTGAGGCCATTGTAGTGTGAGGCCAGT